TGAAAAACACCAGCATTATTCTTTACTCTTCAAAAGAGAAACAACAATCGTATGACAACATTGCATTCTTCAAAACCAACTAACACATCTACCAACATATCAAGCTGCATAGTATCAAAATAACAATTGCTAAAACCAATATGCTAAAAAAATATTGAGACCAGAAATATAAACAGAATATTTACCATATATTCCTTACTTACACACAGAGGCACCAATTCATAACAACACACTACAGAATTACAACTGCAATGTGATACCATACAATAAAAAACACATCATGCACCAACCAACAAACCTACTTCAACTAACAACCATTCTGAAATCATTTTTCTATGCAATACAACTACAATTTCCACCCCCATTAAATAATCAAATTCAAACAACTATGACCTAATTTGCAATGAAGAGGACCCAACAACACATATTCCTTGTATATTCATTACATTTAAAAATCAATTCTTCACACATGCACACAAAATAGTTTAATGCTAGAACACAAATATACTCATACCCAAAAACATTTTTTTCACAGACTAAATCCCTACACCCAAATTCCAAAACCTGTTTCATAAAAGTCAAGACTATTACACTTTTTTATAAAATGAAGCACATTACCACTGCTCTTAATATGTCAAAAACCAATCCATCATGCAAATCGGAAAAAGTAATTACAGATGCACCCAGAACTCACAGAGAAGAATGTCGAAGACCCTTTCGAAATTAAAACTACAGATGCATTAATCAACGACATGCAATACAAACAAAAAAGCAAATCAAATAGACCCTTTCGAAATTAAAAACGCATACCTTCCACCACCACCGCTGATTTCCCCGCAGTAGTCATGCCTGAGAATGCAATTTCTAAGAGCCTCCTCCTTCACGAGGTCTCCTTCTTCTTAAGGCGTGCTGAAGAATGCAGCGCCGGCGGAAGAAAAGGGTTATGGAAGAAAGCAAAAAGACTTCTATTCAAGGCAAAATGCGTAAGTGGCGGGATATTAAAGATCTGCACCTTTTTTACGCTTATTAATGTACTTCTCCATTTCCAGAAATGCCCTTCCACGTGTCTGCCTCATTTAACATACCCAATAACAATTCCCCTTTCCTTTTATAAAATAATTTATGTTGCATATTGGAGACCGCACGATGGAGTAAATCTAATGGATCTAGATCATTCTCATTTCTTTCACAGCAACTCATTCTCACTTGATCTCTCCCCTATATATATATATATATATATATATATATATATATATATATATATATATATATATATATTCCCAGAAAAAGATGAGCCATATCCTCCGTTGTAGTGTCACAAATATGGAACTCAAGAAAAATCTCCATGAATTTGCTAAGATTGTCCTTAGTTTGAACCCCTTCCCTGTCCAAGAGAAGAATTTGTGTTTAGGGATGATGAGATTATTCCAAACAATTTTAGCCCACCAAACCTAAGGCCCTTAACCAGTCGACCAACTGTAGCCATCGCATATTAGGATTATTAGCCATACCAATTCTGTTTTGAATAGGTTTTTTCCAATATTAAACCACGTCGGGACTTTACATTACAAACACTTTTTAGGTTCGTGCCCGACCCGTCTTGCATAGCGAACGTTACATATGAAACCCGAGCCCGGCCTGCACGGGTACCCGAAGGCTTCAGACCGTCCCAACCCGCATTGATAATCAGTTTTAAACCATTAAAAAATATTTTTAAAATAAATTAATGTCTAAATATATAAGATATTTGATATAGAAATTAAGAGGAATACTCTATCAAAGAAACAAATAATATATGCAACATATTTTGTGTTAAATACATACAGCTATTGAAAATCATTATTAATTTATGATGATCAATAATAAAATATATTCATTCGATTAAATAACCTTATAGTTCTCTTCTTTTCTTTTTAAAAGTATACATGTGTTTATATAACCGCAATAATAAATATTCCATATTATTATTGTTATTAATATTATTGATTGTTTTTTTATTATTAGTATTATTTTTACTATGACTATTAATTATTTTATGTGTATTATTATTGTTAGTCAATCCCACCTAATGGGATAAGGCTTTGTTGTTATTTTTTGTTTGTATTATTATTATTGTTGAAATAATGGAATAACCGATTTACTCAAGAAATCATTGTACATAAACTTTGAGAGTAAAGCTTCTAGAATTGTGACATGTGGCGCGCTTATTGGGCAATTTTTTTGGCATGTCAGACCGTAGTGGAATATCTGGCTATTATGTAGCTGATATTATCCATTTGGATGTTATTAGTGAAAATTCTGCCACTTCTAGCACGGCTTCAGTCGTTTTTGGGTGAGTCTTCTTTAAAAAATATAATAAATCTATGTATCTTAATGTTACCGGAGTACTTTCCAATTCATAGTGTTCTACACTTCTATTTATTGATTATCTGCTGACATGACAGGTGTACTACTTAAAACGACCAGGTGCTGGATGGGATTTTGGGATTTAACCAAAAAACCATGTCAATCATCTCACAACTCTCCTCCCCAACATGCTGTGCCAAAAACTTTCTCTCACTGCCTAAGAGGAGGTTTTGGGATTTTGGGGTTTTTTGTGCTTGGTGAAGTTGTGGAGTTGCCTCTAACTTATACACCACTCCTTCCGCCAAAGTATGTCTTCAATTTAGTAGATGTTAATATTGTTTTTTTAGACTCACACTTTATGTCATTCAACAGAGTTTTCTTGTTGCTTTCACTAGTGAGCATAGTTAGGTTATCAAAAGTGTGCCTTGTATTTGGCTGGTGTGACAAATACCTTTTGGCATATCTACTTTTCAGGCAGAACTATCATGTCCATCTGGAAGGCATCAATATCAATGGGCAACTTCTGCAAATTGACCCAGACATGTTTGCCAACCTGTACTTGATTCTGGAACTTATTTTGTATACCTAGCAAAAGAGGTTTTTTCTCCATTAGTTCATGTGGTATGTTTTAACATAGCTAGATCTTGCAAATGACTGAACTGGAAATGACTTGCTAAAATATGTCGGACCCAACCAAACATTAAATTGCCCTTACTAACACTCGCTGAGATTAGATCTTCTTTTCAAAATAGCATACTTTAATATGAAGTATAAAGCCATATAAACCATTTTATCACTTTTTTTTACTCTATTACATTGAATAAACTTATCTTTTCTAACCAGTTGTAATGATGTTGCATCGTCATCTTACTTTATATAAAAATTGTATATATTTAAATTTTTATTTTATATATAATATTTTGGTATATATCTAAATTTATACAGCTTCATAATATATTTAAACCATAGCTCGAGTTTCAATCTATAGCATGACACTTAACAATCATAACCATTCATTAGACGTGACATGGAAATTGATATGCAAATCTAGTTTAGATTATGATGACCAAACACTAAATCGTGCTCTTTTTGTTTACACAGATCTACCAAAGTGCTTCACCACATGCGATCCCAAATCTTAGATCACATAAACTATGTTATGATGTACAATCAATGTTCAAAGATCATTTTATGTCTCCTGGCCTGGGCTTACTAGATTCTATTACCTTTTATTTTGAAGTCTTTTAAATTTGACATTGTTTCTATTTTTGCATCAAGCCCATGTGATGTTGTTAGGGGTAAACCGGGGGTCTTATCAAGTTGATAATTTAGTGGCGGATGTGCGGAGGAAAATGGAAGGGAAATAGTGGGCGAAAGTATGGAGGGTGTTTTAGGAGTTTTTTTTGGTATTTTATAGAAGAAAAAGAATAGGATTAAGAAGGAGAAATGGAGGGATATGAAATGGAAGAAATATCACGGATGGATAAAACCAAGTTGGTGTTAGGAGATATTACACACTCTTATCCTAACTTGGGGTTTGAATCTAGAATTCAATTAAGATATTACACACTTAATCAAATATCTAGAACCTAAAACTCACACTTAAGATAACCACTCTTAAGATATAGAATTAGGAATTTAGCTAAAATAGCATCACACTATTTTAATAATACTCAAAGAGTAAATGGTTTTCAATATTCAAAGATGTGTTACAATGGCCATATGGCCTGAGTTATATAGGGAGAGGGGAAGGAGAAAATACATAATACATTGAATGTGAACATGAGGAAGCTTCCTAGCAACATCCACTTCCAAAGTATGGGGTAACACTCATTGAATCTTGTCTCCAAAGTGGGATAAAATTCAGGAATGGGGCTGGGGTTGTGGGGGTTTTGAGCTTTGGTTTGTAGTGGTTGGTTCTTGGGTTTTAAGGCTATTATTTGGGTAAAAATGAGGGGTTGTGTTTGGCCAATAAAAGGGGACAAGGC